GCATTTCTAGAGTCACAGAGGTGTGTGCGATTGGGACTTGTGCAGGGACTGGAAACCAAATCAGTGAGGTTGGGTGTGAGAGAGATTGGTGACATACCTAGCTTGTCCCTAAGGTGGGATTGTGTGTGCAACACCATTGATCCTAGGGTTGATCCTTTCGTGGTGAGTCACTGGAGAATTTTGAGCAGTGCAGGCTCAGCTAAATCTGGCAGTAATGTGCGAGGTTGGAAAGGAGGGCAGCAAGCTCTGCATTCTTCCTTGATGTCATCCCTCTCATGTTAGTGGAAGGTTGAACTGCATCCTGGATAAAACGCCTAACTTCCAGAGTGGGATGGGACTACTTAGGGTCACATCCTATTCCCCTCATTTGCTTTACTCCCACATAATTATGAAGCCTAGATATGAAATCAGATGGTCTAGTAAGGAAATTTAATTTACCTGCATTAATACTGTATTTTGCATGGAAAATAAATCATAGTAGGTTCTGGGAATGTTGGAGTTGTAAGTTTAGACTCTATTCCTAGAAATTATTTGTAAGACATCATCACAAAGCTAATTGGCATGCTCCTTAAACTGTATACAAAATCTTGGCCTTTTAGGAATTGACTTGAATTATTAAAGTGCCCTAACCTCCCAGAAGGGATATTCCAGCAATGGTTAACATTTGGGATGTGGGTTTGCCATCTAGTGGGCATTTTTGAATATGTGTGTGTTTTAAATACACATGCATACCCCCCCCACACACACTCACACTCACACTCAGTTTCCATCAGTAGTTTCTAACCATTCTTCCTCATTCCCAGCATTTAAAGGTCAGGATGGTACTTTGGACATATCTCCATTTGTAAACGTGACTTAGTTTGCATTTGGGCAGTCTGAGAATGTTTTATGTTGTGGGAATACTAGCCTCACATGGAGAGTCTCTTCAAACTTCATGTCTGCCTTTGCTGCTCCCCTGTGACAATTACTGATCCAGAAAAGAAGATAGATATTTCACCACTAGAAAGACACAGTGACTGCTCCATAGCAGACACTCAGTAAAAATTATCTTCCTTCCTCTTCGCCCTGCAACGTCTCTCATAGAAGTTATAGTTCCCAATTAATAGTTTCATGTGCACTTGATATATAAAGCACTTTGTAGGCTCAGTGAACGCAAATATGAATAAAACCCAGTTCCTATCTCTGAGGTGCTTAGACAAAAGAAGCTTGTAGTTTTACAACTATATTCCAGCAGGTTATGTCTCAAATCTTTGATTGTGGTAGATTGTTTGGAAATAAGAATTTGGTTTTCCATTATAAGTAATAATAAAATGATGCCAGCCCAGCATGCTGGCTGATACCTGTAATCCTAGCAATTTGGAGGCTGAGGTGGGCAGATCACCTGAGCTCAGAATTTCGAGACTAGCCTGGGCAACATGGTGAAATCCCATCTCTATTAAAATACAAAAACTTAGCCAGGAGTGGTGGCATATACCTGCAGCCCCAGCTACTTAGGAGGCTGAGGCATGAGAATTGCTTGAACTGGGGAGGTGGAGATTGCAGTGCACTGAGAATGCACCACTGCAGTCCAGCTTGGATGACAGAGTGAGACTCTGTCTCCAACAGACAAACAAACAAACAAACAATAATGCTAGTTTCCCCAGACTAAGAAGAAGGATCCTTGTGATAAGCGACAAAATGAACATTAGGGACAGCTTGATTTATATTTGAAAGGACTGAGACTTGGAAGACAATAGGTCCAGAAAGAGAAGGGAGAGAAGTGGGGAGTAGAGGAAACTAGAGACAATGTGGGATGCATTCTGTAGAAGTTTAAAGAGAGGGAGGAGAGAGATTTAGGAGCAGCTACCTTATGGTATGAGATATTGAGAGAAGGTCAGGACAAGAAGATTTTAAGAGGTTTTGTTATGTATTATAAATGGAATCCCCTTTGATGCTTCCACGGCACTGAAGTAAAGATTTAAATTGCCTTTGTGTTATTTTTGGATATGGGTTAGTGTTTCTTTGGAAAGCAGTACCATGCAAGAGACAGGCTATGAAGTAGCTTAGATTTATCTGGAAAACATAAATGTTCAGACCATAAAACTTTAAAAATAGATACATCATACTTTCCTCATGTGCCTTAAACCTAAAATTAAACAAAACCAAAATGATGAAATAGTATAAAGAATGTCTATTTTAACAGTAATACATGTACTTGGTTAAAAAATTCAAAAGTACAGAATGGCATTAAACAGAAAAAGAAAAACATTTCCTGCTTCATTCGCCAAACCACCCTTTCACCCCATGTCTCACTACCCAGAGGTAACTTCCTTCAAGAACTTGCTTCTAATTCTTTTTTTTTTTCATTAGGAATTTTTATTTTTATTTTTTTTAATTGTACTTTTAGTTCTGAGGCAAATGTGCTGAACGTGCAGGTTTGTTACATAGGGATACATGTGCCATGGTGGTTTGCTGCACCTATCAACCTGTCATCTAGGTTTTAAGCCCTGCATGCGTTACATATTTGTTCTAATGCTCTCCCTCCCCTCAGCCCCCACCCCCTGACAGGCCCTGGTGTGTGATATTCCCCTCCCTGTGTCCATGTGTTCTCATTGCTCAACTCCCACTTATGAGTGAGAACATGTGGCGTTTGGTTTTCTGTTCTTGTGATAGTTTGCTGAGAATGGTTTCCAGCTTCATCCATGTCCCTGCAAAGGACATGAATTCATTCTTTTTTATGGCTGCATAGTATTCCATGGTGTATATGTGCCACATTTTCTTTACCCAGTCTATCATTGATGGACATTTGAGTTGGGTCCAAGTCTTTACTATTGTAAACTGTGCTGCAATAAACGTCCACATTTATGTGTCCTTATAGTAGAATGATTTATAATCCTTTGGATATATACCCAGTAATGGGATTGCTTGGTCAGATAGTATTTCTGGTTCTAGATCCTTGAGGAATTGCCACAGTGTCTTCCACAATGGTTGAACTAATTTACATTCCCACCAACAGTGTAAAAGTGTTCCCATTTCTTCACAGTCTTGCCAGCATCTGTCTTTCCCTAACTTTTTAATAATCGCCATTCTAACTGGTGTGAGATGGTATCTCCTTGTGGTTTTGATTTGCACTTCTCTAATGACCAGTGATGATGAGCTTTTTTCACGTTTGTTGGTCGCATCAATGTCTTCTTTTGAGAAGTGTCTGTTCATATCCTTTGACCACTTTTTGATCGGGTTGTTTGTTTTCTTCTTGTAAATTTGTTTAAGTTCCTTGTAGATTCTGGATATTAGACATTTGTCAGATGGGTAGTTTGCAAAAATTTTCTCCCATTCTGTAGTTTGCCTGTTCTCTCTGGTAATAGTTTCTTTTTCTGTGCAGAAGCTCTTTAGTTTGATTAGATCTCATTTGTCAATTTTGGCTTTTGTTGCCATTGCTTTTGGTGTTTTAGTCATTAAGTCTTTGCCCATGCCTATGTCCTGAATGATACTGCCTAGATTTTCTTCTAGGATTTTTATGGTTTTGGGTTTTATGTTTAAGTCTTTAATCCATCTTGAGTTAATTTTTGTATAAGTCATAAGGAAGGAGTACAGTTTTTGTTTTCTGCATATGGCTAGCCAGTTTTCCCAACACCATTTATTAAATAGGGAATCCTTTCCCCATGCTTGTTTTTGTCAGATTTGTTGAAGATCAGGTGGTTGTAGATGTGTGGTGTTATTTTGGAGGCCTCTATTCTGTTCCATTTGTCTATTTATCTGATTTGGTATCAGTACCATGCTGTTTTGATTACTGTAGCTTTGTAGTATAATTTGAAGTCAGGTAGTGTGATGCCTCCAGCTTTGTTCTTTTTGCTTAGGATTGTCTTGGCTATATGGGCTCTTTTTTGGTTTAATATGAAATTTAAAGTAGTTTTTTCTTATTCTGTGAAGAAATCAATGGTAGCTTGATGGAGATAGCATTGAATCTGTAAATTACTTTGTGTAGTATGGTCATTTTCATGATATTGAGTCTTCCTATCCATGAGCATGGAATATTTTTCCATTTGTTTGTGTCTTCTCTTATTTCCTTGAGCAGTGGTTTCTAGTTCTTCTTGAAGAGGTCCTTCACATCCCTTGTAAGTTGTATTCCTAAATATTTTATTCTCTTTTTAGCAATTGTGAATGGGAGTTCACTCACAATTTGGGTCTCTGTTTATCTATCATTGGTGTATAGGAATGTTTGTGATTTTTGCACATTGATTTTATATCCTGAGACTTTGCTGAAGTTGCTTATCAGCTTAAAGATTTTTTTGGGCTGAGACCATGGGTTTTCTAAATATACAATCATGTCATCTGCAAACAGAGACAATTTGACTTCTTCTCTTCCTATTTGAATACTCTTTATTTCTTTCTCTTGCCTGATTGCTCTGCCCCAAACGTCCAATGTTGAATGGGAGTGGTGAAAGAGGGCATTCTTGTCTTGTGCTGGTTTTCAAAGGAAATGCTTCCAGTTTTGCCCACTGAGTATGACATTGGTTGTGGGTTTGTCATTAATAGCTCTTATTATTTTGAGATACGTTCCATCAATAACTAGTTTATTGAGAGTTTTTAGCATGAAGGGGTGTTGGATTTTATTGAAGGCCTTTTCTGCATCTGTTGAGATAATCATGTGGTATTTTTCATTGGTTCTGTTTATGTGGATGGATTATATTTATTGATTTGTGTACGTTGAAACAGCCTTGCATTCCAGGGATGAAGCCAACTTGATTGTGGGGGATAAGCTTTTTGATGTGCTGCTGGATTTGGTTTCCTAGTATTTTATTGAGGATTTTTGCATCAATGTCCATCATGGATATTGGCCTGAAATTTTCCTTTTTTTGTTGTGTTTCTGCCAGGTTTTGGTATCAGGATGATGCTGGCTTCATAAAATGAGTTAGGGAGGAGTCCCTCTTTTTCTATTGTTTGGAATCATTTCAGAAGAAATGATACCAGCTCTTCTTTGTATCTCTGGTAGAATTCAGCTGGGAATCTGTCTGGTCCAGGGCTTTTTTTTTTTTGTTTGGTAGGCTGTTATTATTGCCTCAATTTCAGAAGTTGTTATTGGTCTATCCAGGGATTCAACTTATCCCTGGTTTAGTCTTGGGAGGGTGTATGTGTCCAGGCAGGAATTTATCCATTTCTTCTAGATTTTATAGTTTATCTGCATAGAGGTGTTTATAGTATTCTTTGATGGTAGTTTGTATTTCTGTGGGATCACTGATGATATCACCTTTACCATTTTTTATTGTGTCTATTTTATTCTTCTCTCTTTTCTTCTTTAAAAGCCTAGTTAGTGGTCTATCTATTTTGCTAATCTTTTCAAAAAAATCAGCTCCTGGATTATTGATTTTTGGAAGGGTTTTTCATGTCTCTTGCTCTTTCAGTTCTGCTCTGATCTTAGTTATTGCTTGCCTTCTGCTAGCTTTTGAATTTGTTTGCTCTTGGTTCTCTAGTTCTCTTGTTTGTGATGTTAGGGTGTCAATTTTAGATTTTTCCTACTTTCTCCTGTGGGCATTTAGTGCTATAAATTTCCCTCTTAACACAGCTTTAGCTGTGTCCCAGAGATTCTGTTATGTTGTTTCTTTGTTCTCCTCGGTCTCAAATAACTTCTTTATTGCTGCCTTAATTTTGTTTCATTTAACCAGGAGCCAATCAGGAGCAGGTTGTTCATTTTCCACATAATTGTGCAATTTTTAGTGAGTTTCTTAATCCTGAGTTCTAATTTGATTGTACTGTGGTCTGAGAGACTATTTGTTATAATTTCTGTTTTTTTGCATTTGTCAAGGAGTGTTTTACTTCCAATTATGTGGTCAATTTTAGAATAAGTGCTACGTGGTGCTGAGAAGAATGTTTATTCTGTTGATTTGGGGTGGAGAGTTCTGTAGATGTCTATTAGGTCTGCTTGGTCCAGAGCTGAGTTCAAGTTCTGAATATCCTTGTTAATTTTCTGTCTCATTGATCTGTCTAATATTGACAGTGGGGTGTTAAAGTCTCTCACTATTATTGTGTGGGAGTCTAAGTCTCTTTGTAGGTCTCTAAGAAAATTGTTTTACGAATCTGGGTGCTCCTGTATTGGGTGCATATATATTTAGGATAGTTAGCTCTTCTTGTTGCATTTATCCCTTTACCATTATGTAATGCCCTTTTTTTGTCTTTTTTTATCCTTGTTGGTTTAAAGTCTGTTTTATCAGACTCTAGACTTGCAACCCCTGCTTTTTTTGCTTTCCATTTGCTTGGAAAAAAAATTGCCATCCCTTTATTTTGAGCCTATGTGTGTCTTTGCATGTGAGATGGGTCTCCTGAATACAGCACACCAATGGGCCTTGACTCTTTTTTTTTTTTTTTTTTTGAGATGGAGTTTTGCTCTTGTTACCCAGGCTGGAGTGCAATGGTGCCATCTTGGCTCACCGCAACCTCCGCCTCCTGGGTTCAGGCAATTCTCCTGCCTCAACCTCCTGAGTAGTTGGGATTACAGGCACGCGCCACCATGCCCAGCTAATGTTTTGTATTTTTAGTAGAGACAGGGTTTCACCATGCTGACCAGGATGGTCTCCATCTCTTGACCTTGTGATCCACCCGCCTTGGCCTCCCAAAGTGCTGGGATTACAGGCTTGAGCCACTGCGCCCGGCGGTCTTGACTCTTTATCCAATTTGCCAGTCTGTGTCTTTTAATTGGGACATTTAGTCCATGTACTTTTAAGGTTAATATTGTTATGTGTGAATTTGATCCTGTCATCATGATGCTAGCTGGTTATTTTGCACATTAGATGATGCAGTTTCTTCATAGTGTCATTGGTCTTTACATTTTCGTGTGTTAGCAGTGGCTGGTACAGATTTTTTTCTTTCCACATTTAGTGCTTTCTTCAGGAGCTCTTGTAAGGCAGGCCTGGTGGTGACAAAATCCCTCAGCATTTACTCATCTGTAAAGGTTTTAATTCTCCTGCGCTTACAAAGCTTAGTTTGGCTAAATATGAAATTCTGGGTTGAAAATTCTTTTCTTTAAGAATGTTGAATATTGGCCCCCACTCTATTCTGGCTTGTGGGGTTTCTGCAGAGAGATCCACTGTTAGTCTGATAGACTTTCCTTTGTAGGTAACCTGACCTTTCTCTCTGGCTGCTCTTACCATTTTTTCCTTTGTTTCAACCCTGGAGAATCTGACGATTTTGTATCTTGGGGTTGCTCTTCTCAAGGAGTATGTTAGTGGTGTTCTCTGTATTTCCTGAATTTGAGTGTTGGCCTGTCTTGCTAGGTTGAGGAAGTTCTCCTGGATAATATCCTGAAGTGTGTTTTCCATATTGATTCCATCTGTCACTTTCAGGTACACGGATCAGTCATAGGTTTGGTCTTTTCACAGAGTCCCACATTTCTTGGAGTCTTCGTTTGTTCCTTTTCATTCTTTTTTCTCTAATCTTTTCTTCATGCCTTATTTCATTAAGTTGATCTTCAGTCTCTGATATCCTTTCTTCCACTTGATTGATTTGGCTATTGATACTTGCGTGTGCTTCCTGAAGTTCTCGTGCTGTGTTTTTCAGCTCCATCAGATCATTTATGTTCTTTCCTAAACTACTTATTCTAGTTAGCAGTTAATCTAACCTTTCATCAAGATTCTTAGCTTCCTTGAATTGGGTTAGAACATGCTCCTTTAGTGCGAGGAGTTTGTTACTACCCACCTTCTGAAGACTATTTCTGTCTATTCATCAAACTCATTCTCTGTCCAGTTTTGTGCTCTTGCTGGAGAGGAGTTATGATCATTTGGAAGAGAAGAGGCATTCTGGGTTTTGGGATTTTCAGCATTTTTGTGCTTTTTTTTTTTTTTTTTATCTTTTTTTTTTTTTTTCTTCTTTTTTTTTTTTTTTTTTTTTTTTGGGATTTTCATTTTTTTTTTTTTTTTTTTTTTTTTTCTCATCTTTGTGAATTTATCTACCCTTGATCTTTGAGACTGATGACCTTTGGGTGGGGTTTTTGTGTGGGGGTCCTTTTTGTTGATGTTGATGTTATTGCTTTCTGTTTGTTAGTTTTTCTTCTAACAGTCAGTCCCCTCTGTTGCAGGTCTGCTGCAGTTTGCTGGGTGTCCACTCCAGACCCTATTTCCCTGAGTAACACCAGTGGAGGCTGCAGAACAGCATAGACTGCTTCCTGTTCCTTCTGCTGGAAGCTTCATCCCAGAGGAGCACCCGCCAGATGCCAGCCACAGCTCTCCTGTATGAGGTGTCTGTCGACCCCTGCTGGGAGGTGTCTCCTGGTCAGGAGGCTTGGGGTTCAGGGAACCACTTGAGGGGGCAGTCTGTCCCTTAGCAGAGTTGGTGTGCTGCGCTGGGAGAATCCGTCTTCTCAAGATCAGCTGCTCTCTTAAGGGCCAGCAGGCAGGAATGATTAAATCTGCTAAAGCTGCGCCCGCCCACAGCTGCCACTTCCCCTAGGTGCTCTGTCCCAGTGAGATGGAAGTTTTATCTCTAAGCCCCTGACTGGGGCTGCTGCCTTTCCTTCAGAGATGCCCTGCCCAGTGAGGAGTATTCTAGAGAGGTAGTCTGGCCACAGCTGCTTTGCTGGATAACGGTGAGTTCCACCCAGTGTCAACTTTCCAGCCTCCTTAGCACTGTTGGGGAAAACTGCCTACTCAAGTCTCAGTAATGGTGGACGCCCCTCTCCCCAGTAAGCTTGATTGTCCCAGGTCGACTTCAGACTGCTGTGCTGGCAGCAAGAATTTCAAGCCAGTGGTTCTTAGCTTGCTGGGCTTCATGGGATTGGGATCCGCTGAGCAAGACCACTTGGCTCCCTGGCTTCAGTCCCCTTTCCAAATGAGTGAACAGTTCTGTCTTGCTGGGTTTCCAGGTGCTACAATTCCTGCAGCTAGCTCAATGTCTGCCCAAACAGCTGCCCAGTTTTGTGCTTGAAACCCAGGGCCCTGGTGGTGTATGCACATGAGGGAATCTCCTGGTCTGTGGATTGCAAAAACAGTGGGAAAAGTGTAGTATCTGAGCTGGATAGCACAGTCCTTCATGGCTTCCCTTGGCTTGGGGAGAGAGGCCCCCAGCTCCTTGCACTTCCTGGGTGAGGTGATGCCCCACCCTGCTTCTGCTCACCCTTCATGGGCTGCACCTACTGCCTAACCAGTCCTAATGAGATGAACTGGGTACCTTAGTTAGAAATGCAATCACCTGCCTTCTGTGTTGGTGTCGCTGGGAGTTGCAGACCAGAGCTGTTCCTATTTGGCCATCTTGCCAGATCTCCACTTGTTTTTAATTCTTTTGGTGGTTAACACTATAATGATAACTTCTATGTTTATATCACTGTTTCTGATTTATCTACTTATTTATTATCTGTTAATGCCATGCTATGAATGATGAGAAATACATCTCATTTAGATGACCTCTTCATTTGCTTCCTTCTTCATTTGTTTTGCTAATTACATATTTTTTATTCTCCTTTTTGTTGTCATTGTACACTTAAATACAGATGCTCCTTGACTTACGACAGGATTGCATCCAGCTAAAACTGTCACAGTTGAAAATACATTTACTTTACCAAACGCCATAGCTTAGCCTAACCTACATTAAACATGCTTAGAACACTGACATGAGCCTACAGTTGGGCAAAATCATCTAACACAAAGCGTATTTATAATGAAGTGTTGAATATTTTATGTAAGAGCATCCCACTGTATATCACTAGCCCAGAAAAATAAAAGTCAAAATTTGAAGTACAGTTTTTACTGAATGTATGTTGCTCTAGCATCATTATAAAGTCAAAAGGTAGTAAAGTGAACCACTGTAAGTTGAGGATGGTCTATACTATGCTTAGACTTTGATTTTTTGATCCATCAGTGTAGGTAGTAACTTTCGATTTGCTACAAAAGAGTATGAGAAAAGCACCATCCCCACACTTGCCTCCGTTTCCACTCCCTTCTACTCCAATTTTTCTATTCACCTCCCCATTTCTCTCTTTCCTACATTTATATTTATAGTGTTAGGGTTTATAGCATTTGCATTTTGTTCTGTAAATACAATTATTTTTTCTGCATTTTACCTGTTGATTTACTCTAGCAGTTGAAATCAATAACTTAGTTTATGACTGATAGTTTATGCTTGTACAAATATTATTTGCTACAGAATACTGAGTGATTGACTCAGAAGATGAGAAACTAATCCAGTATCTCTAAACCTGGGTTATACAAAAAAGAAGAAAACAAGCATCAAGGCTGGGTGCAGTGGCTCACACCCTGTGGTCCCAGCATTTCGGGAGGCTGAGATAGGAGGATTGCTTGAGTTCAGGAGTCTGAAGTTCAAAGTTGCTGTGGGCTATGATTGCCACTACTCTCCAGCCTGGGCAACAAAGCAAGACCCTGTCTCAAAAAACCCCAACAATAGCAAAAACGTGCCTCAAGGCCAAGTGGATTCTTATTTCTTATACTGCATAACTTGGTCAAATCATAGCTTATTAGAGTTTGCTTTATATTTTATGTTACATTTTTAAAAAGTTATTTGGTTTCACTTAGAGTTTCAAATTTGCATTTTTTTTCTCTTGACATACGCTTTTCTAATTACATTGCTAAGAATTTCCAATTTTATATTATTTTAAAATTTAATTTACTTGTGAAGAAGTTATAAATATGCACAACACATAATTAAAAAGGAATTGATGGATGTACACCAAAAAGTTAGTCTCCTTTTCATCACTGTCCCTTAGCCATTCAGTTCTTCTTTCCAGAAGCAACTTCTCTTAATAGTTTTGTGTAGTCTTTTAAAGACATTTTATGCATTTGCAAGCACTCAAGCATATTATTTTCTTTTCCCACACATGGTAGTACATCATGTGAAATTTCTTTTTGTTTTGTTTGCATGCATGTGTGTGTTTTTTACTTAGCAATACACCTTGAAAATTCTTTCATATCTATATCCATATTTATATCTACATCTATCTTGCTGATTTTTCTTTTCGTAAATGGGATAGTGTTCCATTATGCGGATATGCCATAATTTGTTTAACTGGGCCCTGCTGATGTCCGTTAGTCAATTTCTGATTTTGCTATGACAAATTCATGCTTCACCAATATCCTTAGATGTGTGTTTGAATATCTGTAGAAAAAATATCTACAGAAGAATTGTTGGGTCAGAGGAAATGTAGATTATCTTACTTTATTTTTATTTATTTTAATTTTTTAAATTTTGTGGGTATATATAATAGGCATATTATGGGATGCAATGCGCATTTTTTTTTTTTTTTTGAGACGGAGTTTCATTCTTGTTGCCCAGGCTGAAGTGCAATGGCACAATCTTGGCTCTGCAACTTCTGCCTCCTGGGTTGAAGTGATTCTCCTGCCTCAGCCTCCTGAGTAGCCCGGATTACAGGAGCCCACCACCATGCCCAGCTATATTTT